GAGAGAGAGAGAGAGAGAGAGAGAGAGAGAGAGAGAGGCTGCTTCCTCCCAGCCCTGTTTTGTTTTCTCTAATTGGTCCTGGGGGAAGCAAGGAAATTGGACAGAGGCTGGGCCGGGCGAGCTGGGCTGCCTTTAATTGGCTCCTTTTTTTTTTTTTTTTTTTTTTTAACTGGGGGGGAATCAAAGAGGAGAGCGCGCGACAAAGGGGGGGAGAGCGAGAGAGAGAGAGCGAGCGAGAGAGAGAGAGCGCTAGAGAGAGAGAGAGAGAGAGAGAGAGAGCGCGATCGCGGAGATGGGAGGAGGGAGGGAGGAGGGAGAGCAGGAGGCGGGGCGGCGGCGGCGGCGGCGGGGAGGTGGAGGAAGCGCGGAATGAAAAGCTCGGAGGGACCAGAAAGCAGCACAGCGGAGCCCAAGTTGCCGAGCGAGCGGAGCGCTCCCGCGGCCCCGGAGCCCGAGCGGCCGCCGTGCCCCGGGAGCCTCGGCCGGGTCCCTCCGGCGGCGGGGACCCCCCTCGGGCCCAGGCGTCCGGGAGGGGGGGAGGGCGGGGACGCCTAACTTGGGGCGCGGCGCGGCCCGGCCCTTCCCGAGACCGCGGAGCCCGGGAGCGCCACGGGCGGCCGCGGCCAGACGGCGGGAGAGGAGCGCGGGGAGAGGAGGCGGCTCCAGAGCCGCAGCCGGGGCCTCGGCGGGCGCGCCGGCTCCCCCGCCGAGGACTCAAACTTTGCTCCGGCTCCCGCCGGCGGCTGCCGTCCCCGCGGCGGGGGCATCGTCCTCCGGCTCCCGCCGGCGCGCGCTCTGCCCGGGCTTCCGCGGCGGCGGCTCGGCTAAGTTGGCGCGCTCGGGCGCCCGGAGCGCTCGGCCCGCGCCCCGCGGCCCCCGGGAAGGACGCCCGGTCCCCGCCGCCCCGGGGTCGGGCCGCCCAGCGCCCCGCGCCTCCCGCGGGACCGGCGGACCGAGCGGAGCGGAGCCCGGGGCCTCCCGGCCTGGCTCGGCGCACGGGCGACCCCTGGGCGGGGGAGAGGCGACAAGTTTGTCGCGGCCTCGGCGGCCCTGTCGGCTCGGAGCGGCGGAGAGCTCGGCCCCGCTCGGCGGCCCGGGCACCCGGAGCTGCTCGCTGGCCGAGCCCGCCGGACCGGGGAGCCCCGAGGTCCGCGCCAGCGCCCCCCGCGTCCCCGCCCTGCGGGACGAGGACGGAGCCGGCCGCCCGGCCGCCGCCGCCGCTTGCTCGGTCCAGCGCCCTCTCCGTCCCGGCTCCGGGCCGGGGAGGAAGAGGAGGGAAGGCGGAGGGCCAAGCGGTGCCCCGGCCGAGGCGCCCCCCGCCGCCTCTCGCGGGGATGAGGCTCTGGCCGTGAAGATGGAGGTGACCTGCCTCGTGCTCCTGGCGCTGCTCCCCCTCCACTGCCGGGGACAAGGAGTCTACGGTAAGAGCCCGCGGCCCCCGCCCCACCCCGGCCGCGCCGAAACTTTGCGAGCTCTTGCGCGGAGCGCGCGCCGCCGGGGGCTCGGTGCAACCCGGGGCCGGCGCTCGGGGGACGGGTGGCCGCGTCCCCGCCCTCGCCCGGGGCGCAGGGACTCCTCACGAGCCCAGGGACCAGCCCCAGGGGCACGGCCGGGGCGCGAAGCCGGAGGGGTGCCGGGGCGAGGCGAGGCTCTCCGGAACCTCGCCGGGGCTGGGGAGGACCCGGCGGGCTCAGGAGCCCCGGGAGGAGCCCGGGCTCGGGGCTGGGGGCGGCCGCCCCCTCTAGCTCCTCTCTTCCTCCCGAGGGGAGCGAGCGAGGCGCCTCCCGGACTTGTACGCGGCCGGCGGGGCGAGGCGCTCGGCAGCTCCGCGGCCCCAGGCTGGCTCGCCTCCCCGGCCGCCGCCGCCGCCTCGCCCGGCTTTCCTGGGCGGTCTGGGCTGGTGCCTGGCGGTTCTCGGCATCCCTCTCCACCCGAGCCAGCCCCTCCGAGCCCTGCTTGCCGACCCCAGAGCCCCGGCTGCCTCCCGCCCGCTTGCACGCCCGGGCACGTTCGGCCCCCGTCCTCCGGGAACCGCCAACACCGCTCGCACCCAGCCCGCCGCGCGGCTCTGCCCCGCGCATCCCTCAGACGCGCTCCGCCGCGCCCACGGCTACGCCGGGCACCTCTTCTCCACGCGGCGCCGGGTGTTTTCCCACGAAGACTCCCTGGCTCCGTGCTACCCGGGTCGTCCTCCCGACAGGCAGAGCACAGAGTCCATCCCCGGAGCCCGTGGCCCTGGCCTTGCCTCACGGTGACCGCGGGGGTTGGCTTTGTAGTTACTTTCTAATGATGTGTGGCTGGGGAGGGCCGGAATTCGGCTTCTCTCTCCGGGGCCGAGAATCTCATTATTCTCTTTGAGAGTGGAGCTAGTTAGACCCGCACCGTGGGGGTGACAGAGGCCGTGTCCCCTGGCTGCTGGCTTCAGGTCTTGGGTCTCTAGCCTGGCAAGAGAAAGGGGCATCCTAGGGAGAGAGCATCTGGAATTCGTATACCTCTGGGCTCCAACAGCTAGCCGGCTTGGGCTTAATTCCCTGGTGAGGCCCGCCCAGGCACCCAGCCAAACTCTGCTTCTTAATTAGTGTGTCTCTTACTGCCGGGCCCGTGGCATAGGCCAGAAAAGGCAGGCGGGAGGGCTGCTGCGAGAGGACCAATGGGAGGGGGGTGTGAAACAGGGCAGAGGAAGACAGCAGAGGCCTCCGGGGTCCGCTTTCTCCAGAATCACTCCAGAGGCCAGCAGCTCAGTCGCGGCCACCCCAAGCGACTGTGGCAACCTGCTCGCACACCCTCCCGAGGCGTCGGTCTACTGCCCACACCTTCCTCCCGTGTCCTTGGGCTGGAACGATGGCCCCATCTCATGGTTATCTGGCTTGGGTTTCTCCAGTCTTTCTTCATGTGGGCATTTAAGGGCGCCTCTCTGGACCCACTTAGGGACCCCAACAACGAGGATAGACGTTAGGAGACAAGAACCATGCTCTCGTTTTTTCAGGCTTCTCTGTCCCACCCTCTTTCTTTCTTTTTCTCTCCTCTCTCGAATGCCCAGGTCCCAGCTTGCTCTTGTTACAAATCAAAGAAGGGTGGGTGCCCGGGGCCTGCCCCCTGGTTCTTCAGTGACCTCCTTTGCATCTGCACTTGGCTTCAGGGAAGGCTGGGCTGCAGGGGGATTGCCAAGTGGAAAATCTTTCTGGAGGTGAAATGGGAAGGCAAGGAAACAGGAGCTGGGGCCCTTGTGATGTTACAAGCACTTGGGGACAGCTCGGCAGGGTTGGGGCCGGCCTTGAGAAGCAGGGCGGAGAGCCAGGGGGTCCTACCCCACCCATCCCTCTGCACCCCAAAGCAGAATGAAGCCAGTGAGTGGGAGCATGGCAGTACACAGGAACGGAGATGTCCACCCTGGCCATCCGCTGCAGCATGCAGCCCCAGCATGGTACCCGGCGCCCTGTAGGAACCCCAGTGAGGGTTGTTTTGAGCAGGTGAAGAGCTGCAGATGGGGGGGAGGGGGCGGGTCGACGATGCTGGGGTGAGATTCTCAGGTGTCTCTAGAGCTTGGCGTTCACCAAGACAGCGGGCTTTAGCTCAAGGTTTCTACTCGGGAGAGCCGCGCTTGCAGCCCCCAAAGAGAGAAGAAAGTCAAGTGTGGGGTTTCAGTGGCACGAGGGAGGTAATATGTTAGCATGTGCTGGGGGTGGACTTCAGCTGCTGCCGCCATTTTATCCCAGGCCGGAGGTGCTGACGAGGGGGGCCAGTGTCACAAGGAGCGTGAAGCCAGGGGAGGGAGGAAGGAGGGACAGGCCTGGAGGCCTTTGGCGTTGCGGTGAGGGTCAGACCATCCAGTCGGGAGATAGTTGCTCAGAGCCTTAGGCTCTGCCTCCTGCTGGGTGCACGGTGAAGCAACAGGACTGGGGAGGCCCTCTCCGTCGGGCCAGGTGGCTTTGCTTTTCTTCTTGGGGGCCACAGATGCTACAGCAGCCACGTGTGGGACCAGATGGTCCATTTGGAGCGGAGCCTGCTCCCGCAATCTCTAGCCCAGTTTGTTGTTTTCGGGGTGGGCCCTGTAATCTGCTTTCTGCCAGGCGTGTGTGTGTGTGTGTGTGTGTGTGTGTGTGTGTGTGTACACGCGAGCGTGCTGGCGCGTAGGGCTGAGGTCTAGTTCTGTGACAAAGGGGGCAGGTGAAGGAGGGGTGACATCTTCTGTGCAGGCAGAGTTAGGCTTCCCGTCCTGTGTCCCGGCTTCTCGTCCCATCTCCCCGCTATCCCCGTACTCAAAGCAGCCAGATTTCCAGGCAGGGGCCGGTGAGCAGGCTTCAGCTCTGTACAACAAAAAAACAAAAAACAAAAAAACCCCACAACAAACCCCTGGATTATTTAATATGCAGGAGTGGGAAGTGACATTATCCTCAAGACAGGTTGTTTGCAACTTACTGGGGGAAGTCAAAATATTTCACCAAAGGTGTCATCAGAAACTACTATCCTATGCTAATTTTTGTGGGAACATGAAGACAGATGTTGAATAATTTGACAAGAGTAACATCGCTTGCAGAATTATCACCAAGTCAGGTTCCCCCCAGCCCCCATCCCACCTTCCCTCTTGGGATCGTGGGGAAGGAATTTCCTGAAGTGAATTTTCCAGTGTGGGGCTTCTGAGGGTGTGGGTGGGAACGCTTGGGACTTTTCTCCCCTGAGTTCCACACCCCTTCCTTGAAAAGTGGCCATCCAATAGGCTCTTCCACCGAGAAGCAGGTTGCCCCGTAGGTCGGCAGCAGGCTTAGGTGTTCCTAACTCCCCAGGATGGTCCCCGCCTACTTTTGTCCCCCTTTCCTTTTTCATTCTCTGCTATAGACATTGCCTGAGGGAAAGATTGCCTTGTAGCTACCAATCCAGGCTGTTTTTCTCCTGCTGCCTTTGACAGCCCCCCCCCAAGTCTGCCTGGGGGCTCCCCCTGACGGCTTATAGAGCTCTTCCTGGTTTGTCTCCCCCACCCACCCACTTCAGGCAGATGCCCGTTCCCACCCTGCAGGCTGGGCATCTGAGCATCATGCATGGGTGAGGTCCTGGGGTCTGGAAGCTAGATGGGAAGGGATTTCGTGAGTCGTGAAAAGTACCCTTGAGGGGCAGGCTGGGACTAGCTGACGGGCCTACAGGTAATTGGCCGGGTCTGGCTCTGAGCTGCTGAGGCTGGGTGGCAAAGCCTCGTTTAGAGCCCTGTATTAGCTCTGCTTGCTGGAACACGGAGGGATTGGGGGGGCTCCTTGGGGAGGCAGAGGGAGCTAATCAGGCCGCCACGGCCTGGCAAATGAATGATGCGGAAGATCGATACCTGGATGGAGTAGGAGTGGAAATCAGGCCAGCTTCTCCTGGCCGCCCAGGAGGCACAGAGGGGCCTGGGAGTATTCAGGTCCAGCTGGGAATATGGAGGATTCTTTCCCCTCACCCTGATTCCCACAGCAGCCCCAAGGATTCTTCCTGTGACTGGGTTCAGGGAGATAACACCAGAAGGTGTCCCGCCCACAAAAGTTGGAGAGCCTGGGGATGGAATTTCAGGTCTCTCAGTCTAGAAAGAGCCCCATTTCACCTTCCCCCTGCCCAGACACCATAGTTTGAGTAGGTCCCAGAAACCTGTGTATCAAAGAGGTCGGGTGTAATCCCTCTGGGCACCAACGTTGTAAAGCTGGTGCCACTCTTCCAGACATTGCCAGCAGGGGGCGGGCTTGGCCACCACATTGCTGCTTTCCTCTCTTAAGGGCCTCCTCATCCCATCACAGAAGAGGGGGACCGGTCCTAATTCCCCAGCCTGAGGTGGAAGGGGTCTCCCTCCAACCCCCACATACCTGAGGTGGCACCCCGGGAAAAGCTACACTTTTCAAGATGCATTTTCAAGATGGTTCGGTTCTTCTCTAGGCCAGAGAGAACTTTGTGGGCCCTCAGCTGGGCTTGTGGGGCACGGGTGTAGGAGGCTGTGTGTGGGAAGGATCTCTGCACAATTGCCTCTTTATAAACCTAGGTATGATCTCTGGCCAGCATCTCTTTTTCCTCTGTCAGAAGACTAGGGATGTCTTACTAGCTAATACAGAAATGTGTTTATTAGCTAATACGGAAGGCAGGCAAGAGCCATGCCAAGAGCTAAGAGGAATGAATTTAAAAAGAAACAAACAAACAAAACAATGGCTTGTTCCTTTTTTCTAAGACTGGATAGCACATGTTCTTTGCAGAACAAAGAATGCACGGAAGTAACGGTCAGCCTCCATGCACTGAGTACGGCTCCTCCCAGCATCTTTCAGTATGTAGGAGAGTGACCCCTTTCAGGGAGGAGCCTTGGTGACGGCAGTCATCAAGTCATAGGTGTGGTGGCACCCCACGCCCTGCCAGGTCTTGGCCTGACTGTGGCTTTCGTTTCCCCATGATAGATCGGACAAGGCAGCCCACA